TGCAGCTGTGAAGCAGCCAAACACGGTGGCCTTGAGCTCCAGCAGCAACTAATAACACCAGTACTGTTATCAACATTCTTCTCATAATATGTCTGAACTGAAACACTGAAACTAAAATGCAGCTATTCTAATTACTAAAAAGAAAATTAACTCTATCCTAGCAAAACCAGGACACTAAACATAATGAGTAGTAAGTCAGCAGAAAGAGCTGGAAATGAATCTTTAAGTCATTGTTGCTGTTTTACTACTGTCCTCTGAGCTTTCCATGCAACAAGCCGGTGGGGTCAGCAGCAATTAGGAATGAAGTGTCTTAAAGTGTCTCAGGGATGCTAAAGAAAATAAATGTTCAGTGATTAAGCATTCAGCAGCTAAAAGCTGAGAAAAAAAAAAGTGTAAAGGGGAAGAGAGATTCTGTTAACGATCAGCCATGGGTGCTCAAACTGGTGTGACAACTGTATGTCACACAGGTAGTCACTGTCAAAACCCAACCAAGCCACAGCTGCAAGGGCATGAGGTCCCAGCTGAGTCACAGTGGATGCAAAGTAAGTGACAGATTTCCTTCGGCTTGTCTCAGCTGCCACCTCATCTCACAAAAACAAAGCAAACCCAAACTCGGCTCTGGTTTCTTAAAGCTTTCAAGCCAAGAGCAGTAGAAATGTGTTTTTTCATATCAAACCATATGGCAGATAATAAATACCTGAGGTTCTCATCGCTGATCACTTCCTACATAGGCAGCAGAAAATGCAATTTCTGTAATCAAGTTTCCTCACAGATAACGCCACGTCATTCTTCACACATCCTCACTCTCTATATCTTCAGTTATAAGCTTTTCAGAGGTACCCTTGAGGCACTCTGATCACAGTTACAGCATTTTAGTATTCTTCCAGTATGTGTCAGACCAGGGAAAGGAGCTGCAGCTCAGTTAGCTCTAGTTAGGTGGGACTTCTGCTGCATTCTTGCCTTTATTTTGAATGACTCCTCAAAATTATACAAAGTTCTGATTAAAAACACAAAAATCAACCTTTAGCCCTAGTTATCTGTACTGATGTCAGCGGAAGGAACTGGTGCTTGTGAAGAGGTGGCTCGTTTGCAGCTTTCTAAATTCTGAGTAGGTTTTCCAGATATTTACAGGTATTAGAATACATTTTGCATCTTGGGCCTTTGGAGTCATTGACACCAAACCAAGGATTAAGCTGCTTGGGCCATCAAACCTGACTTTCTCCTGCAAACAGAAAAATTATGTACCTGCACCCACCTCAAAAATGCCTGAGCTTCTCAACAGAGACAAAGAATTAGGTTGCATGATGTGTTTGGAACGTTTTCTTTTCCTCAACATTTTACCTTGTGTGAATTGTGTGTGTGTTCAGAGGTGACCAAAAAGCAAAAATCCCCAGAGAACAAACCAGCAGTAGGCCTGGTTACAGCATCCTGCCACAGTTAAATGGTTCTTTTTTAACTACTTGATGGAAAAAAAAAAAATTACTTTTTTTGTGTTGTTTTTTTTTTTCCCTTCCAGACTCTGACAGCACCTGCTCCATTTGCAGATGAAACAAGCTGTCAGTGCCAAGCCCCCCATGAGAAGCTAACCATTGCACAAGCCCGCCTGGGAACACCAGGTATGTGTAGGGAGCTACATCAGCAGGACCATGGATGCTCCCAAAGCACAGCCTCTCCCTTACAAACATCTGCCAATGCTCACTTGTGCCTTCCACTTGGAAGCAGGAAGGTCAGCCTGGTATCTGGTGCTATCAGGTAATGGGGAAGAAAATAGCAACTACAGGTCCATTATCTTCTGTTAGAGAAACAACAAGAAAAAACATTTAAGAGTCAGAGTTTGATGTTTTCCCAGATGTCTGCATGTTGGTCGGAACGAAGGCTTTCCAGCCCACTCCAGCCAGCCTGAGAATTGTGTTGTGTAGTGGCTACTGTGTTGTGTTCCTGTACTACCTTTGTATGCTGGAAAACTCTTCTTTCACTGATGTTCTTGTTGATCACATCAGACCTTAAGTGGTCTTAAAGGCCATTTGCCCTTTGCAAAGAAACCATGCCTAATTCTGTTATCTGGACATTTATGATTGGGTTGGGGAAATGAGATGATTTCACATAAAGTCCCAAATACATACTTCAGCCCCCCTAAATTTCACAATATTATTTTTAAAAAGTCTTTGTTTACTTATTTTAAATAAGCTTTTTAAAGTACATACACGTTATAGGGGTAAGCTGCAGCTTTCCAGTCAGCTCTGCAAGAAACAATGTTTTCTCCTGGTCTCTTGGATGACCTGACAGCAGAGACATAACTCTGTAGTATTGAAGAACAGTCCATGGAGGTTGGAGTTCTGCTGTTCTCATCTCCACTGTCCTTTTGCTTGGAGGTGGCACAGCTGTCAGGCCTGTAATTTGGAAAAGCGAGCCCTTTTTCTGTCTGGAGGCCGCTGCTGAAGATGTCGGAGAGAAAGCAAAAGTTGTAAGGGTGATAGCAGGAGGATGGTGAGAAAAAGAAATTATAGGCTTGTTAGAGAGAAGAGCTTGGGGGACATATGAAAATAGAGCAGTTAAAGGTTTATGTGGAAGAGGTAAGCAATACATTTTTACAGTGGTAAGCTGTGGAAAAAAGAAAGTCACAGACCAGAGGGACGGAAAAGGAAAATGATAGGAAAAAAAGAAGAAAAAAAATTGAAAAAAATCCAGAAGGCAGGACTGACTAGAAAGGCAGAGGGAAAAGAACAAGACACATGGTGGAACTCTGAATGAGGCAGGAAGATGACATTTTTGCTAAATTAGAATATGGGGATGATTGAAGATAATAAATAGGCTAAGTCTGAGAAAACAGCAGAGAGTACAGAGAAGAACAAGTAACGAGCAGGATAAAATACTGCATGTTCACCCACTGTGCATTTTGAACATCAGAACTGGAGTAAATCTCTACAATGATCTGATTAGGGAACAAAAATCTGTCTAGTAGAATAAAGTGCAACTTGTTTTGGGACTGAAAAGTCACTGTTGTGTTTCTTTCTCCACAGTTGACAGACCTGTCAGAGTGTATGCGGATGGGATATTTGACCTCTTCCACTCTGGCCATGCTAGAGCTCTTATGCAAGCCAAAACTCTATTCCCAAATAGCTACTTATTAGTAGGAGGTAAGATCAGAGTTATTTATTGCGCTAGATTTTTGCTTCTCTGCTTCAGTATCAGAGAGTTATCGCTGTGCTTGCACCCCCAGCTGTTTATACACTATGACTTTGAATGTTACTTTCACTCTAGGGGCTTTCTCTAGGTGATTTGCTTTAAATTACGTCTTACAATTGCATCAATTAAAGTAAAAGTCAAATTCTGCCCTCAGCAGCACAGGCACAATTCCCATTCTAGTTAAAGCAGGTGCCTGCATGACTCTGAGCTTTGAATAGCTCCGTATGAATAATTTACCTTTTTCAGTTTTTCGCTCAAAATTGTTCAAAGATGGGGATGAGTGAATGAGATCAACCACTTATTTATTTCTGGCTCCTCGGTCCCTCCGCCAGCCGAGCACAGCCCACAGCCGCTGTGGCCAGGCCAGTACCGTGTGTGCAGACCCAGCCTTCAGCATCAGCAGAGAAGCTGAGTCTGGCCCATTATCATTGGAGACCCAAATGTAGGTCAGGATTTGAATGTAGTTTTCAGCTCACAAGTGTCCCTGGGCAGGTTACTTTCTTACCAGGTAGGTTTTTTTTCCCCCACAAGTATCTTATTTTCTTGGCTGTGTGGCTGGCTAACAGCTGTGCAGCAGTGGGTCACCGGGGGTGGCTGTGTCCTGCCTAGCTGGCTGTGCAGGCCCTGCTCTTGTGAGGCCTCAAACATTTCGGTTCCAGTTTCCCTACCCTTGGGGTTGAGATATGCCTTGCATAAACATTTCACAGGAACCTTCAGCTGCTCAAATGCTTACAGCAGTGATGATAAAGCGAACGTGAACACAATCTTCCAACGCTTCATAAGATAAGATTTTGTATCCTTGTCAGTTAAAAGGTGGGGAAAAAAGACCCAACACAGAGGAAAAGCAAAAGCTCCTTATAAACACAATCTTTGGTTTTACTTTTAAGTTTATGAATTGTGGCAATTCCCACAGAGCTTCCTAGGAGGGAAAGGGGACATCCCTTTGTTATGAAGGAAACATTTAAGACTCTGTTGTTTTCCTGCTGCGCCAAATAGCTCACAGAAGAAGCAAGTGGAGGTGCAAGACAGTGAGGTTTAAAAAAAAAAGCCAGTTATGTAGGTTTTTGTTGTTGCTTTTAAAGGAGTGGGGGGGTGTGTCCCAGATCAGGGAAGGAGCTCTGGGGCAAAAGCCTGGCTCCTTTGAAACTCATGGCATAGCTTCACTTCGCAGCCAGTGCTCATCAGCACCTTTTCCCAGCAAAGCACTGCATCTTAGCTTGTTTTAAAAATGCTTTCCACACCCACATACAATTTGTGCTGCAAAAAGCACTGGTGTCATGTGTCTTTGTGGGCACCACAACCAACCCCTATTTCTCATTGTGAAAACAATTATTTAGAGCTAAGATTTTTTTTTTTTTTTTAGTTAGATATTCATACCTTCTCAAGTCAGTCATTCGAGCAGGATGACAGAATCAATAGGAAATACAGAGATATTATGTCTGCATTGTACATGAACAAACAGTAATCAAAAAATTAAATAAAATCTTTTACAGAATTCAATCAAAAATTACTATTTTCCAGTAGTTTTAGTAGACCCTGTCTTTCAGAAGAGGGTAGCTTTAAGATGACATAAAGGCTGTAAATAAATATAAATACAATCTCAGATGGGATCTTTCTACTGAAAATGCTTTGATCTCCATTAAATTTCTTGTCAGCAGGCATGAAAAATGACATAATAGGATAGAGGAGCATTTCAGTAGCTGAAATTCATATGTATATTATTATCTGGTTTTGAATTTTGCACAAGCTCCAGGGCTAGCTAAGCCTTCCTACATTTTTCCTACTTTAAAGGTCCTTAACGACCATCACAGCAAGAACATCCATTTTAGATCTCAAAAAAGACTGCATCTTTGCCAGTGCCTTGCCTGATAGGTTGATGTTTTCAAATTAGAAAGAAGCAGCAGCTGTAGGGCTGCTCTCACACTTCCCTGCAGCACTAATAACATTGCATTTATCAGTTGTCAAGTACATTTACTGTTTGTCCTGGTGTCACAGAGAAGCGAGATCCAAAGGCACAGGTTTGACCTGTGGTGAAGGACAACCACTGTCAACCCAGCTATAAATGGGTATCACATTAGTTCATGTGGGGTGTCAAACAACTATCGTAGCTGAAATACGGGACAGAGTTGCAGTTTTGGGGACAGACCACTGTGTTTTATGCAATGTTATGTGGGTAGAAAGGTAATACCTAACTTTTATAGTCCTCCTGTTGCTTCCCCTCATTTTAAAAGCAATGTGACAAAGTACTGGTACATCCAGAGTTAAAGATGCAGGGTTTCTGGACTTGCTCATTCCACTTTAGCATACAGTTTCTCCTAGTCCTTTCTATGGGGCTTCCTTCCACAGTTTCCCTTTTGAACATGGCACAAGCCTTGCTTATCTTTCTGTGAAACCTGCTGATCTCAGAGCTAAACTCAGAGGTAGATTTTTATAAAATCTGTTATGACTTGTCTTCCATCAGTGTTTATTTAGTGAGAAACCATTCTACTGTAATTCAGAGCTTTGTTGGCAAATTCATAATTTACCATGAATAAAGTGTTGTTTACGTAAGAGCAAAAAGCGGGAACAGGAGGTCCAGAGAGGCTGAGGGGTCTCCATCTTTGGAAACTCAACTGGAATGGCCCTGAGCAACCTGCTGTAGTTGACCTTGCTGCGGCAGGGGGGAGTTGGATTAGGTGATGTCCAGTCACGCCTTCCCACTTTGACCATTTTGTGATACATGAAGTTTGGAAGCATTCTGTGATTGCCAACACTGCGCTTTTTGATTGTTTTTAAAGCTTTGGCCATCACCCTTGAAATTGTGCTGCCCATTAAATCCCCACTTATAGCGGGATTGAGTTGCTTCAACATGTGCATACTGTACCACCCAAGATGTTCTACAATATCTGGCTTGGGCTCTGGCTGCAGCTCCACAAAAGGGAAAGATCTCTCAGAAGTCTATGGTTGTACCTGCCAACCCTGAGCAGAACTCTTAAATGCTCTGGAGCACCCCAAAATTAGCTAAGCTAATAACTAAGTCCTTAATGGAATTATCAGGAAATAAATAACTGCTGATCATGCTAATTCTACTGAATGTGTAGCCCTTTTGTTGACACTTCCATATTTTAGTTTGCAGTGATGAATTAACTCATAAATTCAAAGGCTTCACTGTGATGGATGAAACTGAGCGATACGAAGCCCTCAGACACTGTCGCTATGTTGATGAGGTCATCAGAGATGCACCCTGGACACTGACACCAGAGTTCCTTGAAAAACATAAGGTACATTTCTCCCCTTATCCCTCTCCTCCCCTGTACAGACTGACAGTTGAAAATAAACTCATTACAGTTGGGTAATTATTTTAAACTAAAAGAGGGGAGATTCAGACTAGATATAAGGAAGACATTTTTTACAATGAGGGTGGTGAAACACTGGACCAGGTTGCCCAGAGAGATAGTAGATGCCCCATCCCTGGAAACATTCAAGGTCAGGTTGGACGGGGCTCTCAGCAACCTGATCTGGTTGAAGATGTCCCTGCTCACTGCAGGGGGGTTGGACTAGATGACCTTTAAAGGTGCCTTCCAACCCGAACCATTCAGTGATTCTGTAACTCTGTAAACAGCAAACTTGTGAAATTCTATTAGCTGGAGTAAAGTATTCAGTCCATTCTAGTCACTTAAAGTAGGTACACAACATTGCTTGCCTCAGTCTTTGTCAGAAGGTATTTGCCTTGCTTTTTTTCCCTCACTATGCCAGGATGATTTCTGTAGTGGGATTTTTGAATAGTAAAATGACACTGCAGAATCAGCCATAACCTGGCATTCAGGAAAGGAGCTCATGAACCAGGAAAGTCATCACGTAGTGACTAAAGTCCTGTTAATAAGAAAACTGCCTTTAATTCAGGCCTTTAATGTCAACAGGTGCAATAATTGGCCAGGAATACATAAAAATGTCATGTGTCCTCTAAAAGGCAGGATATAATTTCTTACATGCTATTGCCTGTCTTGCAATATGTATAAATCTTGACAAAGCACAATTAACGAGGATGCATTTTAGTGTCCACATCACTGGGTGACAAGTGGACAGCATGACAGTACTGGGTATACGTGTACATACGTGCAGCCCTAAGGAGGTAGAATCAATAATCCTGCCTCCATGGTTTTGAAAGTCAAGGCTTTGCCACTTGACTCAGCTCTTCCAGTAGCAATAAAAGCAGGA